TCTCTCTCTCTTTCTCCTTCCCTTCCCTCTCTAAAAATAAATAAATAAAATCTTTAAAAAATCTATCAGTCTTTCAAAAAATGTTTCTCTAGGAATTATAATATATATGCTTATCATTTCACAGCTTAGAGTTAATACTGAACTAGTTTACATAAAATACAGAAACTTAAAATCATAGTTCCCTACCCACCCCTATCCAGTGTTTTTGGTTGTTGTTACACATTACATCTGTGTACACAAACACCCCACAAAAGTTGTATTTTTTCATAAAATTAAAAAAAATAAGATAAAGGATGACTTTAAACTTAACCAGTTGCTATTTCCACTCTTCTTCACTCATTTCTGAAGATTCAGTTTTCCTCTGGTATAATTTCTCTTCAGCTTGAAGAACTTTGTTCAGCATTTCTCATAGTTATAATTTGCTGGTAAGTCTGTTTTTATCTAAATGTGTCTTCATTTTGCCTTTAGTTTTAAAGAATATGCTTGTTAGATATATAATTCTGGTTGACAGGGATTTGTTTTTTTATCTTTTAGCATATTACAAATCCTGTTTACTGTCTTTTGGTCCCAGTGGTGTTTGATGGGAAGTCCATGGTCCATGGATTTTGGTTATATCCTGGGTATTGTGAATGTTTCCCCTATAAATAATGTGTTGTTTTTCTCTTTCTGCTTTCAGTATTTTGCCTTTGTCTTTGATTTCCAGAAGTTTATATGTGATTTTCTTTGACTTTATCCTACTTGGAATGTAATGGATCTATAAATGTATGTATTTCTTCAAATTTGGGATGTTTTCAGACATCATTTCTTTAAATATTTTCCACTCAATTCTCCCCTCTTCTTTTGGGGCATGGATTACCCATTTGTTAAAAGTTGTGATACTGTCTTATAGGGCTCCAAGGCTTTTGTTTTTAAAGCTTTTCTTTCTCTCTTTTAAATAGTTGATAATTTCTGTTGATTCCTCGTCCAGGTCACTAACTCCTCTGACATCTCCATTTTGGTAGTCAAATTTTTATTGAAAATAATACTATTTTTGGATATAATATTTCTTTTTCTGTTAAGATTTTCTGTCTTTTTAGTCATCTTTAGTATATTTTCTTTACTTCACAGAGCATAGTTATAATAGTGGCCTTAAAGTTGTCATTTAAAAATTGCAACATCTGGGTCATCCCTGGGCTGGCATCTGTTAATTATCTTTGCCCTTGAAAATGGGTCAGATTTTCCTGGGTTTTTATGTCAAGTACTTTTTGGTTATGTCTTGGACACCATGAATGTTTTGTACTGGATTCTTGGTTCTGTTATATTCCTCTGAAGAATGTTGATTTTTTTCTTTGCTTATTTAACAGGCAATTCACCAGGTTAGAGTCATTGTAAACTCTATCTTACTCTCTGCAGTTGGAGGTTATGTTCAGCTGAAGCTCATTTAGGCTCTTTAAGCTCTTGGTGTATTGCTTTGAGATTGTCCCACATATGCATGGTTCAGAGGTCAGTGTAGACTTGTGTGGTGTTTATACATAGAAACGGGAAATTACTCTCTCTGGCTGTCTCTCCTCTGGGATATCTCTCTCATTCCTCTGTGGTGGTTGCTGTCTGGGAGCTTTTATCTGATTCTTCTGGTCAGAATGATAAAGGGCTTTTATTGAAATTTCTTTGGGTTCTCAATAGTTTAGAAAAAGTTATTTTCTGAGCTTGAAAACAGCTTTCCTCTATTTTCTATATCATTTAAACCACCATAATATGTGTTATTTCCTATTATTATTATTGATGTTAGGATCAAAGGTGGTAAAATCAGTATTATAGAAAGTGTGAAAAAAGTAGAGAAAATACTGTTACCCCATTTTCTTAGCAAAATTATTAAAATCTTTGCATATTTTCTTTTAGAGTTCTTCATAAATTATAATCAGAGCACAAAGAAATCTTTCTACCACTGCTATTTCAAAAGCAAATATTATTTTCAGAATATTTTTATTTTTCTTGCAATGCTGATGATTTTACTAGATGAGATAGACTGTCTTGAGCTTAATGTCTCTTTTGGAACTTTAGTGCTGTGCATTGGAAGTTGATGTTGGTGTGTTTAGGAAGTGAATTGAGATGATTTTCAGCCATGGACCCAAGAGAACCTAGATCTTGTCCTTAGTGGGCCACCCTTCCCACTGCGGTGCCTGTGACCATATAGTAGAGGGAGTCAAGTGAAGGAATCTGTGTAACCAGCTGAGGCTTTGGCTCCATTCCCAGTGTATGACTCTTGTAACCCTTTCCAGTGTATTACTCTGCAAACTAGGCTGAACACATGAAGAAATCATTTCCTTGTGTGAAGTGTGAAGTGTAGCTTGCAGCCAAGTCCTCTGGTAGTCTACTCTGTTTGTTTCTATCTTAGTTAGAGTCTAAAATAGAGCTTTGGATCTTCTGTTCTAATAGGAACAGCCACACCTGCAAGAACCAGAGAGCTACCTGTTCCCAAGTTTAGACTGTTCACACAGGTAGTCCTCCCTGGACCTTTAGCAATTTTTGTCCAGTGAGCTTCCTCCTCATGTCTGACCAGACCTCATGGGACAGGAGAGAAACCTACCTCTTGGCCTTTCTGAAGACCTCACTGTTCAGGTAGCCAGAACCTCTTGGTAGAGCAGGAAGGAAAAAACATAGTGTTCCAATACTTTGGGGGAAAAAAAGGAGAATTAAATTACTGCTCGAATTGCAAAGATTTCAGGTCACACCTTGTCCCATGTTAAAGTGTAGCATAAACTTAATCAGCATGGATTGTGAATAGGAGGCTTGATATCTTAGGTACTTTCTCCTTTCGGGATGGCTACGTTATTTCCCCATGAGTATCTCCAAACCAGACCTAATCTCTTTCTTTTTAAGAAATTATTATGGAAAAAAGAGAGAACATGTTATTTTTCCTGTGAGATTGGACGTTTAAAAATGATTTTACATGTTTTACAGTGTTGAAGGTGGATGGGGGCTGTAAAGCACCACCCTTGGATGGGCCGGCCCATTTAGCATTGGGATACCACCTATTTTGAAAATAGAATAGAAGTTCCTCTTAAACTTAGGAGTTCTACTTCCTATTGGTTTATTTTTTTTCATATAAAGAACAACCTTCCTATGAAGAACATGAGAGAATGTACTGAGAAATGTTGAACAATGAACACTTGTTAAACTTTAATAGCAAACCACAAGCCTGGGAGAAGTTGAGAAGGGAATGCAAGGCAGGAACTAAGAAACAAAAGGGAAGTGCTTTTGGGAGAGTCAAGTCAAATTCTCATCAGGTATTAATGTGTTTCTGGTCTGTGTTCTGACCCAGGTACTACCTTTTAATCTTTTATAGGAAGAAATGCAGATGGTGTCAGTATGGACATATTGCCACCTGTGCAAACAGTAACAGCCAAAACATTATGAGGAGGATTATATAGCATTTTTTTTAAATAAGAAAACTTCCTTAAGGAATGTTCACATACTATGGCCTGGAAAAGAGGCAAAAGATTATTTTCACTTTTTAATAAAAAATCTTGTTGCAGATAGAACTGAATTGTCTAAGGTTTGGTCAGTGATGGAACTGTGTAGAGAAAGCAAGCCTGCTGATGCCCACGTGAGAGCTCTGTCATGCAGGAGGGTCTTGGATTTGAGAACCAGCAAGAGATATTTTGGAGATTAAAAGTAATGTGACTATATTTAAAGGCTAAATAGGATGTTTTCTTTCTATTTCACATACTATATGACAAGTGAATACTTAATTATAAAACTAATGTTTTTAGGAATTGATAAAAAGAATATGAACCAAGAAATGTGGATAAGTGCTAAGCAAAGAAACACAAAGTAAAATAAGAAAATGTTTTTCATATATAAGTCTTAAATCCATTGTATCTTGAAGCATGGCATAAAATGAAATGTCATTCCCTTCCCAGCTCCCATACTATAGTCAACCATTTGCCTCAGCACAATTTATTAATACTGCTTTTATCACCAATTTAATGCTGTCTTATAATATAAGCTATATTATTGTTAATTCTTTTGCTTACTCAGTCTATATGTTGATTCTAGTAGTTGTGTTTCAATTTTAGTTCTTGTATCTGGGTAAGTTTTATTATCTTGTTAGGCAAGTGTTTCTTCATTTCCCTTTTCAAAAATTTGGCTGATCTGCCCTGTTTATTATTTCAAATGAATTCAGAATTACTTTTCAAAGTTCAAAATATCATTTTTAGACTTTGATTAGGATGGCATTAAACTAATAACAGTATTTTGGGAAGACCTGATAAAATTAACATATTTGGTCTTTTCACCAAGGAACATTAACTGTCTCTTTATATTATTTTTAAATCCTCACCTGAGGACATTTTTAAAAAAAATTGACTTTAGAAGGAGAGAGATGGATGGAGAGAAACATTGACATGAGAGAGAAAAGAACCAGTCACGTCCTGTACATGCCCTGAAGGGTGGTCAAACTCTCAACCTAGGTTCCTGACCAAGAGTCCAACCCACAACCTTTTGGTGAATGGATGACGCTCCAGCCTACTGTGCCACCTGGTTCGGGCTAACTCTCTGTTTGGTTGAGTCTTTCTTTTATGTCCTTAGTATAATTAAAAGTTTTTATTCACTCGGCCTATCTTGTGGCTGCTATAGGGTGTGGTGGGCTGGGTAAGGGATGGAGACACCCAGGACTAGCTGGAAAAGGAAGTGGAAAGTGCTGTCCCGCCAGGATTCCTTGAGGTTTTGTGTGGTCTGCGTGTATCATGGGGGTGGGACACTACAGTCTAAAGAAATGTTAAGTAAATCTGTAGGGGTTTCAGAAGTGCCCATTGTAAAAAAGATTTTTACAGAAGACTTGGAAGGTTTTCATGGTTCCTCTGAAAAGCTCAGTAGTTGGTTTTAAAATGTACAAACTCGCACTACCCACTGGTGTCTCAGGGAGCACAGTGAGCATTCCACTATGATAAACTATTTTTGAGTTGGAATTTTATCAACAGAACTTTTGTGTCATTTGTTAATATATTGTTACTTCACAGGAAAAATTAATCAAGATGTCCACGATCTCAAAGCACTTTGGATTGAACTACAAGGAAGAATTGTACATCTTTAAAGAGCGTGATAAGATTTGCCGGAAAACCAAAAAGGATTTTCTCCAGTTCAAGCAGAAGCTGGCCTCCAAGCCCGCTGTCGATGAAGTTGCAGTCTTCAGTCTCCAGGATCCTGGCCCTGCCAGGTCTGGGGAGAAGGCGAGAGTTTTCTCCGCTGGACCCCAGCAGCCATCAGGGTCCCTTCGGGCTAAAGGCCCCGCAGCACCCTCAGCAGGCCTACTGCAGCAGGCGCTCCGAGGTACGAGGCGCCCCCCAGGCCGGAGCGAGGGGGCTGCTCCCGGGAAGCCGCAGGTGTTTTGCCCCCAGGACTTCTACAAGCGGAGCTCCGCGTTCCTCCGGCACCGGCTGTTCAAGCACCTGCCAGCCATCGCCACCAGCGTCGGCACGTCCAAACCGTTGGTCCCGATGCCACCACCTGCACGGAGGAGAATGGCCGGGGGTTCCTGGGGCCGGAGGAGCCCGAGGCTCTCGAGTGCCAAGCGGGTCCTCAACGTGGCCCGGGGGCGCGCCCCGAAGCCGGAGCCCGCTGCGCCCGCAGAGGCCAGCACGGCCGGAAAGCGGAAGACCAGCTCGATTTCCAGTGCAGAGGGCGAGGTGGAGGCCGCCACGCGGCAGCGGAGAGTGAGGATTCGCACCCACTACTCGCCTGAGGGCGCGTCCAGGTCATTTTCCAAAACAGATGGTGAAACTGCCCAGCCGGGCAACGGGCTGGAGGCCGTACTGCAGGCCCCGCTGCCGGTGAGAGTGATCCCGACGTCCATAGAGGAGATCATCGCCTCGCTGCAGTCCGAGGCCCAGCTGGCCTCCGACCGGACTATCAGAGACCTCATACAGAGTGTCCTCGGCCAGAACTACGACATTCAGATGGAAGTAGGTGAAGGAGGGTCGTTCTCCTGGGTCAATGCAACTTTAGATATATACATAAAATATCACAGTGGACCTGGTGTGTTATAAGCGAGAGAGGCTAGACAAAACACTGGCATGTTGTTTAAGTTCTTTGATTTTTGAATTTTTCATTGAAGGAGGATATCCTCTGTTCAAAGGGAAAGAAATTGAGGTGTCGTTTCAAAAACGGGTTCAATGAACGTTAGTTGTAAGCATGTGTAATACATTACTGGTAACGTTTCCTTTCAGTCTTTGTGGCTACTTAGTATTGAAATAAGAAAACAGATGTTTTACATGAAAAACTCATCTTTTTCTCTTATACCTTCACATTTTTAAGTCACTTTATATCCTAAGAAGAACATCAATATATTATTATTAAGAAATTGAATTTGTAAGAATTCTGTAAAATTTCAGTGAAAACCATTCTCTTAGTTTTTTTAAAATTGAATTTATTAAGGTGACATTGGTTCACAAAACCATACAGTTTCAAGTGTACAACTCAATGAAACATCGTCTGCACACTGCATCGTGTGCCTATCACACAAAGCACAGTCTTTTTCCACCCTCTTTTATCCCCCCTTTGCCCACCTCCACTGACCACCTGCCTTTCTCTCTGGCTATCACCACACTGTTGGCTGTGTCTGTATTTTATATATATATCCTTTTTTTCCCTCAATCCCTTCGCTTTCTTTCATCCAGCCCCCACAACACCTCTACCCTCTGGTAGCTGTGAGTCTATTCCCTGTATTCATGCCTCTGTTTCTGTTTTGTACATCTGCTTATTTTGTTCATTAGATTCCACATTTAAGTGAAATTATATGGTGCACTATTGCTCTTTCTCTTACTGGCTTATTTCATTTAGCATACTATCCAAGTCCATCCACGCTGTCGCACAAAGTACGATTTCCTTCTTTTTATGGCTAAGTAGTATTCTATTGTGTAAATATACCAAAGCTTTTTTATCCACTCATCTATTGATGGGCACTTGAGCTGTTTGAGATCCTGACTATTGTAAATAATGCTGCAATAAACATAGGGATGTATGTATTCTTTCAAATTAGTGCTTCTGGTTTCTTTGGATATATTCCCAGAAGTAGATTGCTGGGTCAAAAGGCAGTTACATTTTTAATTTTTTGAGGTATCTTCATAACGCTTTCCACAGGGGCTACACCAGCCTGTATTCCCACCAACAGTGCATGAAGGCTCCATTTTCTTTACATCCTCCCCAACACTGGTTGTTTGTTGATTTATTGATGATGATAATCCTCGCACATGTGAAGTGATATCTCATTATGGTTTTAATTTGCATTTCTCTGCTGATTATTGATGTTGAGTATTTTTTCATATATATATTGACCATTTGTATGTCCTTCTTGGAGAAATGTCCTTTTAGGCCCTTTGCCTTAATTGGGTTGTTTGTTTTCTTTGTGTTGAGTTGTGTAAGTTCTTTATATATTTTGGAATATAACCCTTTATCAGATGTGTATGATTGGCAAATATGTTCTCCCATTTACATCGATGTTTCTCTTACCTCTTTCTTTCCCCCTTCCCCTCCTCTCTCTAAACCCTCTCTCCCTTCCTCTCTCTCTAAAGCAATGAAAAAATGTCCTCAGGTGACATTTTAGTTTTATGTGGTTCCATTTTGTTTATTTTTTCTTTTGTTTCCCCCTGAGGAGATATGTCAACAAAAATATTGCTGTGAGAAATGTCTGAGATTTTACTGCCTATGTTTTTCCTAGGATTTTTATGGTTTTGTGATTTAACATTTAGGTCTTTAATTTATTTGGAGTTAATTCTTGTGTATGGTGTAAAGTGGTGGGCAAGTTTTGTTTTTGTTTTTTACATGTATGTATCCAATTTCCTTGAAAAACTATCTTTACCCCGTTGTATATTCTTGCCTCATTTGTCAAATATTAGTTGACTATAATGGCATCAGTTTATTTTTGTGCTTTCTGTTCTGTTGCACTGATTTATTGTATGCCTGTTCTTGTGCCTGTACCAGGATGTTTTAATTACTATGGCCTTGTAGTATAGTTTAATGTCAAGTAGTGTGACCTCTAGCTTTGTTCTTCTTTCTTAGAATTTCTGAGGGTATTAGAGGTCTTTTGTGGTTCCATATAAATTTTTGGAATATTCTGTATCTGTAAGATAGGCCATTGCCATTTTCATAGGAATTCTGTTGAATATGTAGCTTGTTTTGTGTAATATGGACATTTTAATGATGTTAATTTTTCTTAATCATGAACATGGTGTATGCTTGTACTTATTTGTATATTCCTCAGTTTCTTACTTCAGTATTTATAATTTTCTGAGTAAGCTCTTTTACCTCTTTGGTGAAATTTATTCTTAAGTAGCTTATTTTGTTGTTGCAATAGTAAATGGAATCATTTTAAAAATTATTCTTTCTGATACGATTTCAGTCTTCTTGAATTTATTAAGGCCTATTTTATGTCATAACATATAGTCTATCTTTGAGAATGTTCTCTCTGCACTTAAGACAAATATATACTCTGCTGCTTTGGGATGAATTGTTCTGTAAATATCAGTGATATCCATCTGATCCAGTGTTGCTGTTGCCATGTTGATTTTCTGTTTGGAACATATACCCACTGATGACAGTGAGGTGTTAAAATCCCCTGCTACAACTGTATTCCTGTTGATCACACCCTTAATGTTCACCAAGATTTTCTTTATATATTTGGGTGCTCCTGTGTTGGGTGCATATATGTTTACGAGAGTTATTACCTCTTGTTGGAGTGATCTCTTTAGTACCATGTAGTGACCTTCTTTGTCTCTTATGGTCTTTGTTTTGAAGTTTATTTTGTCTGATATATTGCTACCCCAGCTTTTCCTTCATCTTTATTTGCATGGAATATTGTTTCCACCCCTCTACTTCCAGCCTGTGTGATCTTTTGTTCTGAGGTGGGTGTGTTGTAAGACAGCATGCTCCCCGTTTCCTTATCCATCCAGTTACCCTATGTCTTTTGGCTGGAGCATTTAATTCATTCACCTTTAGGGTTATTATTGATAGGTACTTATTTATTGGTATTTTATTCTTTATACCTATGTTCCTTCCTCTTTCTATTTCTTTCTTTGTTATTCTTCTTAAAGCAGACTCTTTAACATTGCTTGCAATATTGGTAGTGAACTCCTTTAGTTTTATTTATTTATTTCAATTTCACCTTACATTTTTTAAAAAATGATAATCTTGCTGGGTAAGGTAGTCTTGGTTGTAGGTCCTTGCTTTTTGTCACTGAGTATGTCACACCAGTCCCTTGTGGTCTGAAGTGTTTCTTTTGAGAAACCAGTGACAGTCTTATGGGAGTGCCATTATAGGCAACTGTCCCTCTCTTGCTGCTTTTAACATTCTCTCTTTGTCTTTAACCTTTGCCATTTTAATTTTGACATGTCTTGGTGTGGGCCTCTTTGGGTTCCTCTTGATTGGGAACTCTCTGTGCTTCCTGAACTTGTGTAACTGTTTCCTTCATGAGGTTAGGGAAGTTTTCAGCTATTATCTCTTCAAATAGGTCGTTGGTCCCTTGCTCACTCCCTTCCTTCTTGTGCCCCTGTGATTCAGGAGCTGTTACACTTGATGTTGTCCCAGAGGTCCCATAGACATTTTTTTCTTTTACTTTATGCTATCTTTTTAATTTTAATTTTATTTTTTGAATATATTTTATTGATTGTGCTATTGCATATAGTTGTCCCATTTCCCCCCCTTCACCCCCCTGCCACCTGCATATTCCCTCCCTTTAGTTCATGTCCACGGGTCTTACGTATAAGTTTTTGGCTTCTACCTTTCCTATGCTATCCTTACCCTCCCCCTTTCTATTTTCTACCTACTATCTATGTAACTTATTCTCTGTACCTTTTCCCTCTCTCTCCCACTCCCCCTCCCCTGTTGATAATTCTCCGTGTGATCTCCATTTTCATTTGTGTGATTCTGTTCCTGTTCTACTTGTTTGCTTAGTTTTCTTTTGTTTTTGTTTTAGGTATGGTTATTAATGATTGTGAGTTTGCTGTCATTTTACTGTTCATATTTTTTATCTTCTTTTTCTTAGATAAATCCTTTTCACATTTCATATAATAAAGGCTTGGTGATGATGAACTCTTTTAACTTGACCTTATCTGAGAAGCACTTTATCTGCCCTTCCATTCTAAATGAAAGCTTTGCTGGATAGAGCAATCTGGGTTGTAGGTACTTGCCTTTCCTGACTTGGAATACGTCTTTCCAGCCCCTTCCTGCCTGCAAGATCTCTTTTGAGAAATCAGCTGATAGCCTTATGGGAACTCCTTTGTAGGTAACTGCCTCCTCTTCTATTGCTGATTCTAGGATTCTCTGCTTAATTTTAATCATGGATAATGTAATTATGTGCCTTGATGTGTTCCTTCTTGGTTCCAACTTCTTTGGGACTCTCTGAGCTTCCTGGACTTCCTGGAAGCTTATTTCCTTTGCCAGATTGGGGAATTTCTCCTTCATTATTTGTTCAAATAAGTTTTCAATTTGTTGCTCTTCCTCTTCTCCTTCTGGCACCCCTATAATTTGGATGTTGGAATGTTTAAAGATGTCCTGGAGTTTCCTAAGCCTCCCCTCATTTGTTTGAATTCTTGTTTCTTCATTCTTTTCTGATTGGATGTTTCTTTCTTCCTTCTGGTGCACACTATTGATTTGAGTCCCAGTTTCCTTCCCATCACTGTTAATGCTCTGTACATTTTCCTTTATTTCACTTAGTGTAACCTTCATTTTTTTCATCTAATTTGTGACCAAAGTCAACCAATTCTGTGGGCATCCTGATTACCAGTGTTTTGAACTGTGCATCTGATAGGTTGGCTATCTCTTCATGGCTTAGTTGTATTTTTTCTGGAACTTTGATCTGTTCTTTTGTTTGGGCCTTTTTTTTTTTGGTCTGGACTCATCTGTTATGTAGTGAGGGGCAGAGCCTTAGGTATTCATCAGAGCAGGGTAACCCACGTCTCTGAGTTGT